TTTAACTAATAATAAAACAAAATATAAAGGGTAGAACTGTAATTTACTTTTTTTTTAATAAAAATTTTGTTGGTATTTATATAGGTTTACATTAATTAAAATTTTGTAATAGTAAAAAATAAAAAGAGAGTAGTGTCATTTGTTTGGTATGAACTAATCAATGAATTTTTTTTTTTGTTAAAGAAAAAAAAAGTCAATAATTTGAGATGACTCCACAAGTAATAAGAGAATAAAAGGGGGGAATTAAAATACATTGTATTATTATAATAAAAGAATTTGCAGGCCCACAAGGTTAGGCCCAGGAAGTCTGACTCTTTCGAAAGCTTATAAAAAATTTAATTTGATTTCAAAATTTTTTAAAAATAAAAAATAGTAATTTCTTAATGTTTTAATTAAATTATATTTTCATATTTTATGCTAGTTTTATGTTAATTTAAATTAATTAATTATTTCTTAAAGCAAAATGGGTAAATCCTTAGTTTATTTATTTTTAAATAAATCATTTTTATATTATTTACTAATTTTATGTTAAAATGAATTTAATATCACGTGACATGAAAATTTATTGAGAGTGAAACGATGTCGTGTCAGTATTGCGCCATCTCAAGACAGCTCAGTAGAGCGAAAACTGTAATGACAGAAAAAACAGTCTCTGCTATGAGACGAAAAGGCAGAAACACAGCAGAGACAGGAGCATAGCAGAAAGAGATCTCAGAAGATATGGCGGATAAATTATCATCAGTTGCGAAGACTTTTTCTCCTTCGCCTATCCAACAACTCTCTCACCTCGCTCAGCAATGTAACGCCATCAACCTCGCCGAAGGTTTCCCAGACTTCCCTGTTCCTTCCCATATCAAAGACGCCGCGGTTTCCGCCATCAACTCCGACTTCAATCAGTACCGGTTGGTTAATATTTTTCTATCTTTCATTTCAGATTCCTCGTTTTTTTTTTTGTTTTTCATTGTTGAAACGTATGGCTTATTTTAATGTGAACAAGGCATGTGCAAGGACTCTGCGATTTGTTGGCGAAAAAGGCGAAGGAAATTCACGGCCTAGACGTTGACCCCCTGACTGATATAGCCATTTGCTGTGGGCAAACCGAGGCATTTGCGGCAACTGTTTTTGCCGGTACGTTGTCGTTTAGACATGCTCTTACTTTTCCAGAACCGTTTTGGCCACTCCAATCGAGATTTAAGTGTTTTGACTTACTGATTATGGAGTTGCAGTAATAGACAAAGGTGATGAGGTTCTGCTCTTTGATCCTTGTTACGAAACATACGAAGGATGCATAACCATGGCGGGCGGTGTCCCAGTAAGTTTCCTCTGATGTCGATTTATCAGA